CCCTTGCACTTGAGCTACTCTTAATCAGCTTGAAAGCAAATTCCTGTAACAGAAAGGTTTAATTTGTGTCTGGGACTTTCTGTATTGTATTTAGCCTGCAATGCTGTGTAGTTACACACTGGCAAGCATGTCACCCTGTGCAGCCATGGGGATGGGCAGTGCGTGTTTATTCCAATCACAGATTTTGAATTCACTGAAGTTTCATATTGGATCCATGCTGATGGTCTTTCAGGTTCAGGTAACTCCTTCTGAAACACACTTTTTGCAGCAAATTCAACTGTAGTTGACTTTGGGTTTCCCTTAAACTTCAACTCTTGTTTCTACAGATTTCCAGCAGCAGTAGCTAAAGCTCTCTGTGCTTTTAAAAGTTGTTAAAAGTTTTCATCTTTACCAGGTTTAATTGGAATGGGATGTAGCCCGAGACACAGGGAGGTTAAAATTTTGCAACACTCCAGATGACAGATTAATTGATCAAGGAGGCAAGAATTACTAATCCCAGGTTGTTGTTATTTTTCTTGTTAGAGTAGTTTTGGTCCTTTCTTCGCTGTCTCTCGCATTCAGTCATCATTCATCCCCATGAGATCAAGACATGTTTCACTGTCTGTTCGTTTAAGAAAACTTCTCAATGGAAGAAGTCCAAAGTGTTTGGTTAGAAAATAAACAAAGTTGGCATGCTGAAAAGGGGTAGCGCTCTGCATGGTGGAGAATGGCAGATGTGATCCAGCCTTCCCATAGCATGGCTGAAACATGAATCATTGCAAATGTCAGATTTCCTGTGAAGGGACGAGCTGAACTGACATGCGCTCAGGTTTAATTAAGGTTGAATTATTGGAGCTGACTGTCAAGTCTTAGGCAAATTGGCTCAGCCTGTTATCATTAAGCATGGAAATTACTCTAGGACTTGGTAAAAATAAACACATTTTTGCCTCTAGAACGTTGTGGTGTGGTCTGGTGGGTCTGTGCTTTTGTTGGGGCAGTTGTGCTCAGCTTCGTGGGTCCCTCTGCTCAGAAGGGCTAGATTAGGAGCTGAAGTACAGAAGTTTCTGAAAGGATCTCGATGAAACCTGATTCAGCTTACACAAAAGGGAATATTCGATTCCTTTCCTTGGGATATTTCCATGTGTGACCACAAGTCAGCCTGGTCGATTGGAAGGAACTTGGGCATACAAGAGTGTAGTTCCCCTAGGAGGGACATTCAGGCATCCTACAGAGAAACTGCAGAGTTTGAGATCCTGATCAGAATGGGCAACATCTCTCGTTAAAATCATTAAAATTAACTTTCTGAGGGATTTCAAGGAAGGTAGCTCAAAGACTTTTGTGTGAATGGAGAGATTCCATTTTCCAATGTGAATTGGAGATTTTTGTGATAGGTATCGTGATAAGGATCTTGTTAAGTACCTAAGAAAACAGGTATTTATAGGCTTCAAAATTCATTGTTTCTTTGGTTGCACAGGGAAAACGGCCTTGAAATTGTCAGGTTTCTGGAGACCTCTGGAGTATGGTTAGCTAGTGACTGGGTATTGGAAACAGGCGCTGAAAAGGTAGAAGTAAGTGTTGGTAGAAGAGTGTGAAAGGAAAGAGAGAAACCAGGACATGTGTATGTTCTTCAGTGTCAGAGTGTGAGTAAGTCATGGGATGGCACTCCATGGAGTTAGCTGAAGTGAAGGGTCTTAAGTCTTTGCTTAGAAGTGCCTTTTGTGTCTTCTAGAGTAGTGAGACGTATGGATGAGATGTATTTCCATCTGGGCATCTGCTTTCCATTTTGTCCAAATCTATTTTACCAGAGACTTAAGTGAAACACCTAGATGTGAGAAAAGTTTCCTTTTCAGAAGGTTTGACTTTCAAACATCAGGCAGGTCCCAGTGCCTGGCGTCGCTGTCTTCCTGTCATTTCTCTCCATGGTTTGTCCTGCCTTTGTTCACGTGTGGTTCCCTTCCCTTCACCCATTGCAGTTCACTCTCAAGTCAGCCCCATGAAGCAGCTTCTCTCTCTTGTACTGCATTGCAGCCAACAGAAGGGGGAACGGGAAAGTCACCAAAACACCAGGATTCGCCTGCCATCCTTCCCGTGTGGTAGCTGGGAAGGCTTGGGGATTTTGCTGTCTCCCACACGTTTCTCCACGCTCACCCATGAATTCACACCATACCTTTCCCTTCTCAGTGCTTCTGCTTTTGCTCAGCGTGGCTACAGAAGGAGAGAAGATACTCACACTCATGAGGAGCTTTTCCAGG